GGGGCTGCACTAGCCGGACTACTTCCAACCCTATGTTGAGGGGGAGGCAGGGAGCTGGCAGCCAGGTGGGGCTTCTGCTGGGGAGGAGAGTCTGCAGCACTGTGACTGTGACTAGGGTTACCAGATGTCCAGTATTTTCACCTTCTGTCCGGTAAAAAAAATTCAGAAAATACCAGACACCTAAAATGTCCGGTACTTTCTGATTTTTTCCTGGCCAGGAGGTGAAATTCCGGTGCTGTCCGGCTCAATATGGAAGCAATGGAAGCAGTTTGGCAAACCTAGTGCTTACCGAGTTCCACAGGAGAGCTGTCTGGCCTGGCACAGGCAAGCAAGATGGCGGGACCAAAAAGCCTCACACTGAGTTTTTAAAGGGGCCACGGTTGTTGATGGGGTTGGTTGGTTGTTTTTTTTTTTTCTTTAACTCAGTATTTTTTTCTGAAACCATCTGGCAACCCTAACCGTGGCAGGCCACAGGCAGGAGGCTGCTCCCAGGTAATGGTTAACCTGAATGGCTGATGCTTGGCAGGTAACCAGTAAACTGATTATCCATTTACATCCCTAGTAAGTGTAGTTAGCAAAACTACCAATCGTGCAGCCCACTGAGATGCAAGAAGGCCACTTATACGGCCCACTCACTAGCCTGGGTTGCCCATCACTGATCTAGGGCCATCTCCAGTATTGCCATTGAACCTGCTGCTCCCCCTTCCCAACATCTGCAATGTCGGCCTTTGTTTTGAACAACAGTCTGGTCCTAGCTGCCTTCTGGTTGCCATTTTAAAGCCCATTTCAGCCACTTGAGTCTCTCAAAAAGAAAAGAAAATTCTGCCCATTGAACTGCAAGTGCCTGATACGGCAACCTATCTTTCAGGCAAACAGAACTGCCATTAGCTTCACAAGAAGATGTACATCAGGTCATTAGCCTTGGGCCTTGCTGGAAAGGCGTCCACATTAATCTTTCATACTATCACTTGAGAACAGTTTATTTTTCTTTCCTTCTTTGCCAACTCATCTAATTAACCAATAGAACAAGACAGATTTGGAAAATGCAGCATTTCAGAATACAAACCTGAATCAGCAGGACAACTGCTCCTGAAAATGTTGATTGTCCAATTCCACACAGTTTGAAACAGAAAATGAAGTGTGTCACTTGAGCCTGGGTTGATGGCAGATCTTGCCAGTTATCAGTGATTAAGTTGCCAGTGCTTGCCTGCTATGAATAATGACCAAAAAATTGTTTGCAAGGCTACAGCCTGTAAAAATATTCTATAAATTCAGAAGGGACCAGTGTGCCAAATAAAAACGGACTTGCAGCGTCATTACTTACAGCTATAAAAACAGCATGGTCTTCAATTGCAATCCTGTTTTGATTCAGACTTTTCAGCGAAGCAAGCTGTTTTTTTTTTTAAGCAGTAGATTGCATTTCTATCTCCTGTCATGGCCTCTTGGATCGCTCCATGAACATTAAAATCAGAGGGCTGACCAAAGGAACTGTGTAAAAATGGCATCATCTTAGCCCACAAATCTGCTCGCTGTGTGCTGTCAGTCAAATCGTTTTTTCTTTCTCCCTTTCCTATTTGCTGTGCTGACCCAGGCCAGCGAGGGGAAAACAACTCTATTCCTCCTTGTGTAGCATCCCCAGAGAGGTTTGCTAAGTACCATTCCCCTGTGCAGAGCAGTTAGTAGTGCTGGGTTGTCACGGATGCCACCAAGGCCATCCTGGGGCTTGCAGAATCCTTATAACTGGGGATGATGCTTGAGAAGGGCCCAGATTGATTGTCAGGTCTCTGGGTGAGGTTAGGTAATGGGCGGGAGGCTCTTTCAAATCCCAAACAGAGTTAGGGTTGCCAGATGGTTTAACAAAAAATATCGAACAACCCCCCCTCCCCCCAAAAAAAACCTGGGGAAAAATTCTGTTGAGACAAAAAAAGGGGAGGGGGAGACCAAAGTGGTTGAGCAAAAAAAAAAGGGGGGGGGGTGCTGTGCCTTTCAAAGGCCCTGCGCTCCTCATGCCTCCACCCCTGCCAGATGCAGTAGGGGAAAATTGTCCCCACCGGTCTTCCGTCCAAGGGAAACAGGAAATAACGGACATTTTACATGTCCTGTATTTTCTTTTTCTTTTTTTTTTTTTTACTGGACAGGGGACCCAAATAACAGACAGTCCGGGTGAAAACCGGACACCTGGCAACCCTAAACGAGTATATTTGATGTAGTCACTATGAGAAAATAAATGCAGAAGTCCTAGTTAGTCACCACTCGGACGAGAAAATATGCCCAGAAAATGACTTTTCTTAGGGCCAGACTGCCCTCAGCATGCAGAAGGGATGTGTCCAGCTTTTTCAGCAATAGGTGTTTTCCCTGGAGAAACACAGCTCCATTCTGCACAATTCAAGGCACAATTCAGCCACTAATCTGAAGCGGCAAATTAATTCATGTTCTTTTCCCATAATGCTTGTAAGTGGATAGCTGATGTTATTGTGGGCTTTGTGCTGACTCTGTATATTACACAGTATCACAGACAGGCAGGCTTTCCATTGACCTAAAAACAAAACTCATTGAACTGGATTCTCGGCCACATCCTATAAAATCTTACCGAGCACACTCAGTTCTGGGCAATCAAATAAAGATTCCCCGCAGGAAACACTTGCTTATGCCTCATTGACTTCAATGTGACTTGAGTACTTAACTTTAACACATGCTTAAAAAGGGAGATTCAGCAAAACACTTACACACATGCTTTGCTGAATAAGAGCCAAAGTATGTTGCTGAAGCCAAGGTATTAAAGTCTAATGAAGATGAAAGAAACTTTCCAAACCTAACAGGGTTGCATGTAAGTACAAGGGACCAGGTTAGCAGATGAATTGCAGTATGCGGGCCTTAAGTTTGTATGAATATGAAAATATATTTGCTCTTTTGGATCTTTTAATAACGGATAGATTTCAGTGAAAACTGTAAAGAAAAATCTCAAATGATTATTTTTCTTTCCTTCCATCCTAACTGGAAAGTGTTTCTTCAAAATGAACAGAATTAAAATTCATTAAATAAGATAAAACTGTAAATAGAGCTGTGCCAAGAAGATGTTTTGATTTGATGATGAATTTGAAAAATTAAAAAAATTGAAAATTTTCGGCAAATCAAAAAGTCAAATTTTTTGGTCAAATTAAATGTTTTATCAACAAAAATCCAAAAGCTTCATTTCAGTTTTGACCACCGTTTTCAATAAAATTAAAGGAAATTTTGAAACAGTAATTTTGCATTTTGAACTTAAAAAAAAAAAAGAAAAACCCGAGGCTTTCATTTACATGTTGAAACAATGTTTTGTGGTTTTGGATTTGGTTTGGACTTTTTTTAACCAAAACAAACTGGTAAAATTAGCACAAGTTCACAAAGCCTTTTGGTGTCACCAAATCTACATTCCCTGCTCCCACACCGCCAATTGACTGAAAATTAATCAGCTACTATTGTAGGAAAGTAGTCAAATTTGTTCTCTTGTTCTGTGAAGGAATGTCGCTTTTCTTCACGATTATCTCATTGCTTTCAATAGCACAGCTTACTGAGTCAGGTACTTCTGCGGTTTGTAGACTCTGGCTTCCAGGTAAATTGAATTAGAAATTGAAGAATTTGTTAAACAAAACATCTGTACAATTGTTCAAAGTTGTTTAACTACCAAAAAAAAAGAGACATTTAAAAACCATTAAAAATATGATCCTGTTTCATGCTGTTAGGAATCTTAGAAAAGTCTGGTTCATTCCTGAATTCTTGCCTACCCCAAATGTAGTCACTGGAAAAAGACTCCCATGGATTTCAATGGTCTTTGGATCTGGTCCCAGATCACTGAAGGATCAGGTTTTAAAAATAAAGCCTATTCAAGTCAGGCACTCATTCTTGAAAGCATTTAAGCATGTGCTTAAGTCCAATTTTATTCAGGAAACTATTTAAAAGTGTGCGTAGTGTAATACTGAATAAGGCTGCTCTCCTAGATCGGAGCCCGAACTCTACTAGATATGTTAAATGTTGTCTGTATAATAGTAAAATACAGAAACCTCTTTTTTTTTGTCCTACATCTTCCCCTGGCCCTATGCATCAGGAGAAAATCATGATAATGTAATATATATATATATATATATATTTATATAATTCTGAGCCTCACTACATAGTATTAAGGACTGTGCCTTCTAGGCTGAGCTTTCCAGACAGAATGTAGACAGGACTGACTGAGTGACCACAAAATACCACACAGCATACAAACAGTGCAGTGCTTGGTACTGTGAGTGGATCCAGTGACACCAATGGATTTACTCATGTTGATGAGCCCTACACCCAGTGTTGAGTATTTGCAGGATTGGGCTCTCCATATATAGATAAAGTAGCTAATGCATCTACTTATGCATGAGTAACTTGTTAGTAATGCCATTGACTTCACAGGTAATATTTTGCTCCCATGCACAAGTCTTTGCAAGAATGAGCCTTATTATTTTGATGTAGCTTCCTCTTTACTGAACATGTAAATAAGAAAACCATTATCCAAGCAAAAACAGGCTTTGAAAGTATAGCTGAGACAGACCAGTATGTGTTCAAAATTATTAGCACAACTATTGCTCTACAAAGCAGTGTCATAAAAGACGACCGTCAAGCTTGAGAACCAAATCTGAAAGTACAAGCTGTCATGGTGACAATGAAAAATGCCAGATTTTCTAAAGCTCTAGCAGCACTTAAATGTTTATTATTTTAGATGAAATGTACATTTTTAATCTTTTTTATATCAAAGTCATCAAAAGTGCTAAATCCAACCACTTTCATTTACAAAAAAACCTCATTTTTTAAGCAATGCTCAGACCTCCTTATTTGTGTTGGACAAATATAGTTACAAATAGCCACCTACCTCTATTCAAGAGCAAAACAAGTTTAATATTACTGTTTTTTAAAGTACCACTGACAACTCATTGGAACAAGCCAAAATGACCTGTCATCCATGAATCAGCTTTCTAAGCAATCACAGTTGGTTTTTTTCCTTTGTTTTTCCACTGAACAACATAAGTCAAAGGCGACTTAGCCGCATGCTCTTTCTTTTTCTTTCTTTTTTTTTTTTTTTTTTTTTTTTTTTTTTTTTTTTTTTTTTTGTCTCATCTCTTCAAATGCTACAACTCTTCCCTTGGTCAGACCTCACAGTGTGTATTATTTTTAAGCGGGTTTCTGGCACACCAGGTCAGGTGAAGTTATTTTCTTGATTGTTCACAGGGCTCCCTTTCCAATGGTATCCAAATGTTGACTAATTAACCGACTGCAGTTATGACAAATTTGTTTTCTGTGAAGGAAAAGAAAATCCACCATTTTTCACTCTCTGTCCTGGAAGAAATACCATTTTCTGTAAGTCTGTGATAAGACAGGTACTAACAATTCCAAAGAGGCTGCAAGAGTCTCTCAATCCAACCCATTTATATTCCAAAAAACGTGTGCAGTCTAACTTATCGATAAATAGTCAAATCGATTTACAAGGGAGCTCTCTTCTGGTTGAGGTTTTCCTGGTAGCCTCTAACCAAACAAGCTTCTTTGATTTGCCACAAGCGCTGTCTGACTCTCCCGTCTTTTGGCTTTCTTGTGTCGTTGCCTGATTTTCCAGCACACAGCACTCAAAGCCAGCAAGAGGAGTCCAGATGACAAGAGAACCAGTCCAAACACGGAGATGACTGAGCCGTGGGAGTTGAAGCTGTATGCCACGGCGGTGACCACCACTCCAGCTATAAGAATGACCACGCCAAAGGGGACGGTGCAACGATAACAGGACAGCTCCGCTCCTCCAGTTGCTGCAGTCAACTGGCACTCGCTGACCAAAGGGACAGTGGTTACCACACAGTCATTGTTATTGCTCTTCTCCATCATTACAGGTTCGGGGTGCTTGGGAGCACCTAGAACCTCTTTAATTGGCTCATCTGTCATCTTGTGCTGCTGGAGTTTCTGGGCAACTTCTTAGGCTAGACTAGGTTCTGCTGATTAAGCCTTACACTGTGGAAAGAAGATGCAAGCATTCAATTGACAGGTCTTCAACGATCACACACATTATGGTAGCACAGAGAGATTCCAGTCCAGATATGCCCCCCCTTCCCCATGCTTGATGTTGCACAAGCTTTGATTGTACAAAGACTGATGCATGGGCTTAACTTTCAGCATGTGAGTATTCCTGTTGATCGTAGTGGACTGGATGGAGTTGATTTTAAATAGGGCTACTCCAGGGACGGGCGATCATTTTTTGCCGAGGGCCATTTCGGAAATTTTTGAAGTGGCCCCAGGCCGGACAGGAAGGGGCAGGGCATCGAGTGCAAGGGGCAGGGCCAAGATATTTCCGGGTTCCCCACCCCCAGACCATGATTGGTCTGGGGGTAAGGGAGTGCCTTTGCCCCCCATCCCACATTCCCCCAAGGTGCCCATGCCCCTGGTGTGGGAGGAGACTTCCCTCGCTCCCCTGCCCCTAGGCCAATTAGAGCCTGGGGGCGGGAGGAGGGCACAAAGCCTCCTCCGCCCTTCCCTC